GGCCGGGGCGCGGCCGCCCAGGCCCAGTGAGCCGCGGTCTTGCTTCGCTGAGCCTCCGTGCTGAGCCTCCGTGCTGAGCCTCCGTGCTGACCGGCCCGTGGGCAACCTGTTCGGGTCCCGCACCGCCCGTCTAGGGACGGGCCACCGCCCTGAGAAGGGTTTAGCTCTGCCAAGTGTGTTAGCCTGTGCTCAGGGGAGCAAAGGCTGTCTTTTCCTACCGTCGTTAGCAGGCAGCCGCGGGGGTCCAGTAACGCTGTCTCTTGCTCCGTTTGCAGTGTTGCCGCAATGGAAGCCATGGGTAAAAAGAAGTTCGTGGGGAAGAGAGGAAAACCACCTCGTGGAAAAGTGCCATATGGGAAAAGGAAGTTTAAAAGAGATAATGGTAAGAAGGCAAAGGTTTCTTACTAGGAGTTCTGTCTGAGTGATTATTGTTGTGCAAAAGCATGCTCGAACTTTGGTTTTTATCTTGGTAAACTTATGTCATGAAATTACTAGCTTGGTAGATCAGTGAAGAGCAGTGGATGTTGTCTGCATGGACTACAGGAAGGCTTTTGATGGTGTCTCTCGTAGGATACTTGCAGAGGTGCTGATGAATTATGGGCTCGGTGAGCAGACAGTGAGGTAGATTGAAAACTGTCCGAATGGCTGGGCCCAGAGAGTGGTAATCCATGGAACAAAATCTAGTTGGAGGCCAGTAACTAGCTGTGTGCCCCAGGTGTCAATACTGGGTGTAGTCCAGTTCAGCGGCTTAACTGATAATGTAGATGATAGGGCAGAGTATACCATCAGCAAGCTTTCCAGTGACACAGAACTGCGAGGAGTGACTGGTGCACCTGCCCTTCAGAGGGATATCAACAGATGGGAGAAATGAGCTGACAGAAACCTCATGCAGTTCAACAAAGAGAAGTGCAAAGTCTTGCACCTGGAGGGGAACAGTTCCTTGCACTATGCATTTGGGGCAGGCAGCTTTGCAGAAAAGGCCCCGAGGCTCCTGGTGATCACAAAGTTGAATGTGAACCAGCAGTGTGCTGATGTGGGAAAAGTAGCTAATTGTATCCTAGGCTGCATTAGGAGTGCTGCCAACAGGTGGAGAGAGGTGATCCTTGCCCTCCCCTCAGCACTGGTGAGGCCCCACCTGGAGTGTTCTGTCTAGTTCTGGGCTCCCCAGTACAAGAGAAATGGGGATATACTGGAGAGAGCCCAGCCAAGGGCCACAAACACAATGAAGGGTTTGGAGCATGTCCTCCTATGAGGAAAGACTGCAAGATCAGGAGCAGTTCAGCTTGGAGAAGAGAAAGCTGAGGGGGATCTTGTCCGTGTATACAAATACCTGAACAGAGGGTGCAAAGACAAGAGCCAGACTCTTTTCAGTGATGCCTAATGACAGGACCAGAGGCAGTGGCACAAACTGAAACACAGGAGGTTCCCTGTGAGTATCAGGGAAGACTTCTTTTGTTGTGAGAGTGACTGAACACTGCCACAGGATGCCAAGGAAGATGGTGGACTCTTCCACCTTGGAGATAGTCAGAAGCCACCTGACTGGGCAGCCAGCTTTGGGTAGCCCTGCGTGAGCAGGAGGGTTGGACCAGATGACCTTCAGAGATGCCTTCCAACTTCAGCCATTCTATGATTCTGTCTTGCATTCAAAATTGTACTGATTGTGTGATCAAATAGCCTGGAAAAAAGGAAACATGATTTTAATAGATTGCATTGCAAGCCCTTCAGCTCTGTTTGATTGTCCTAAAATACTCTTCTAGTTAAAAATTTCAAGTTGATAACTTTTTGATTCTAGACTTTGCTTTCCAACATTAAGAAAAAGTTTGTTTGAGATTTGAAGCTAGTGTGTGTGAAGTGTGGGTTAGGACTGAGAAGATACCTTTCAGTGTTTGCTCTCTTCTGCTTAAAACAGATCATGTCAAAACAGCTCTGACCATAGACTCTGACCATGGGGGACTGATGACTTTGATGTCAGAGGTGGTGAAATTCTCAGTTTAGAGTAATCCTTTTTATACCATGGAAAATAATGCCTGGGCAAAAACTTCCCTAGGGAAAACTGGAATACCCAGGGACTGCAATGAAAACACTGCCTCCAAGAAGTGTGTAGGAACTAATGTTACATATACAGTTGTTGCTACAAGGTAATTTAATTCTTGTTAGGCTAATAATTTGTTATTTTGAAACAACATTAGCTCTGGGATAACATTTTAATTTCTGTTTTGTTGGTCAATAGATTCGGATCCACCAAAGAAACTCCTTAACAAAGGAGGTGAGGAGGGAAGGCCTAAATCCATTTCCAAGAAATTTGTGAAAGGACAGTTAAGACCTGGAAGAGCTAGTGTCAAACAGTTCAAGAATAAACAGCAATCAGAAAAGCTTGCAAAGAAGAGGAAGCTCCAGGATGGTGAAGAGGGAGGTGAGCAGATTTTTAAGCCTGAATGTCAGTGGAAACTAGGTT